TTTGTAGTAATCTTGGTCAATTTGAAAATAATTTTGTTCCAATACTGTGCCAGTTTTAGAAATCAAATTGACGCGTGTAGGTTAACAAAGATTTTATACATACATACAATTGGAAAGACTGGTAATTTTAAATTTTAAACTACGGGCAGTGTAGCAGCTACGTAAGAATACACACCCGATGATGGCCATTTAGGGCCGAAACATGTAGTGTGGAGGAAGGGAAGAAGAAAGAACTACAATTAAATTGTTGCACTTAAGACGGAGTTTGTCTCATATATATTGACTTGGGACATCTGCAGCATCACAGTCAAACGGATTTTGAAACAATCTAATTTCCTGAGCACTGGAATCCAAATCAGCAAATCGCTTCCGAAATTGTTCTTTCAAATCTGAAATGACTAGATTTGCAAACAAGGAAGGAAATTCTGCTTCACCCTTTTTATGTAACTCTGCACAGTATAGCATATGAACAAAGTTACAATTTTTCACTTGGCTTTCCAGAAGTACCAACTTTGCTCTGAATGCCTTGATAAGTGCAAATAAATCAGACTAAGTTATTTTCAATATGCAACTTTAAATTCAAATGGTTCATATGGGTCAGCAGATCAGCAAAAAATGCTATTTCCAAAGCCACTCGGTATCTGATAAAAGTGGTTTGTGATGGTTTTTCTCGGTAAGAAATATATCAGTTTCATTCCTGAGCTGAAAGAAGCGCAAAAGAACCTTTCCACAGCTAAGCCATTGAACTGCAGTATAATATGACAGGTCAGTAAGCTCAGAATCACATTTACCAGCACTCATTGGAAAATTAGTTCAATTGGTGCATTTCTGCATAATTCTTTCGCGGGCTATAGTTTGGAGACCCTTGCTCTATATGGTCAAAGATCCAGTCAAAATGTCTGCCAGGTATCTGGATTGAGAACTTCTCTGGTTTTACTTGGCCTTCTTATGTGAATTAGTACCAACATAATACTCTGCACCTCCTCCCCTGTCATTTAAATTATACTAACACATAGGTATAGTAATAACAGTACCTTGTATGTGGGGGGGGGGTTATTCAGTATGAATCATGGCCACTTTTCCAGCTGTTCAGGCACTGGTTCAATATTTTCCCAAGTCCTATCATATAAATGCTAGGATAGTGCTTTAAGATGGGCCATGATAGTATTCTTCCAAATCCTTACCTATATGGGATTTGGAATAACTTCCCATATTATTTGCCTAGTAAGAGGAAAAGCAAGTGTGTCAAAATGTTCATATTACGACACTTCATAATTTCTGAAAATGAATCACTGCTAAAAGATCTGAGATTCACTCGCCTCATGTCCCTTATTTGATACAATGTAATTATCAGCAGATGTCACTGAACATAAAGAAGGGCAGTTGCAATCAGATATGCCATAATGTTTGTAATTGGATGAATGTTTGAAAGTCTTGCAAGTACAGGCTCACATATTGATTACAATTTGAAGGTATTATCAGCTGCACAAAAACAAATTTAGTATTAATAATTTTACATCATTAATATTTACTCCACTACATGTTTCACTTTTACATAAACCATCATCAGATGGCTAATCAGTAACACACAAAAATTCCAGAGATTACAACTATCTACAGTGGCTCAACGGGGTTATCTAGTGTTTGATCCATCACAAAAGTTATGGTGTTAAAAAATATATGTTTAAGTACATGGAATATTACCATTAAGTAGTTGTAGATACAGTGGGACAGATAAGAAAATATTATTAAAAAGGTTAAAAATGTTTAACATATTCTGTAAGTAGAATAGAGCTGTTGTAAATGCTGAAATAGGCATTCATTTGTTCATCAAAACCTTTTTTTTAATAGCTGGCAATGAAGTTCAGTGGTATATTGAAACAGATTGTTTATTTGATTTAAAAAACAAAGTAAAGCTATCCCTGTAACAGGCCGTAAAGGCCCATAGGGTTGTGAGACGTTAAGGGTCGCACATTACCTTGACAATCAGCTCAAGGATGGCCGCGCTTCACTCCCCAGGAAAATCATTTATATTTTATTAATGTGTGAAGATAGGAATATTACTTGCAATAATTTGTTCCTATCAGTAGTGTGTGTGTGTGTGTGGTGGATGAGGAATGTATGGCTGAAGATTACTGAAGCTACTGGGCAGGTTGATTATCACTGAGCAAATTGCGTGGGTGTGTTCAGAATTACATCAAAGATCAGGATACTCTTATTAACATTCCTCTAATGTTTCCAGTTATTTCCTTCTTGTATGTTATGTAGGATTTTGAGGGACTCTCTCTCTCTCTCTCTCTCTCTCTCTCTCTTTTTTTTTTTACAGCCATAGGAATGGGTTTTCTCTGAAATATATTTTCTGTACCCAGAACTTATTGTGTTGTATCAGATTGCCCATAAGTATTTTAGGTATCTGATTCTGAAAGTTCTCTCCATCTGTCTGATGTATTTTTTTAGTCAGCTTTGGCATGTTAGAGAATAAATGCCATTGGAACTAAAGGGCTCTGTTACTGTGTATATATATATATATTTTTTTTTGTATATGTGTCAAACACAACAATCAATTAAAATAATTCACTTCCACTCCATCATGTCAACTGATTTTTTATTGGATCAACGTACAGTGTTGCAACATGTTTCGGCTATCATGGAGCCATCATCATGCAACACAATTTACAAATCTTAAATTACTGAGTTGTGATTTCTTATATAGATCCATATATTACAAGTATCCCATGTGTTTTTAAATAAAATATAAAACATCCTAGTCACCTCATAAGTAAGGTATCCCTGTAACAGGCTGTGGAAGCCCACAGGGTTGTGAGATGTTGAGGTTCCCATATTTTCTAGACAATCGGCTCATAGATGGCAGCAAGGTTGTCAGCCCTCCACGCCAGCCACCCTTTACCCCCCCCCCAAAAAAAAATATTCCAAGAATATTCCTGTTAGAGGCTGAGTGGACCCCATAGCCATAGTGCAGCCAGGAGGATTAGGTCAATTGGAAAAATCCAATGACCTCATCGGGACTTGAACCCGCAACCTTCCAGCTTGTAGCATAGTGCCTCAACCAACAATGCTACCATGTACAGTCACTTCATATGGACAGATTTATAGTTATGCTTCTATACTTGGAGCTTAACTGCATTTAAAAATGTATTAAAATATATTTAAAATATCTTACATTACAATTGAAGGCTTGCTCCTAAATTAGTTAAATAAAACTGTGCTTAAGGCAAGTATGGAGTTATGCTGTGTATGTCATGCTGAACTTCAGTTGTCAATGTGTTTTGTGTTATGGTTTGTTCTGTCCAGGATTCCTCATTTCTAAACGTGTTCTTTGTGAGAGATATGAGGTTCTTATTACAGTTGTTGACTTCTCAGCTGTAACACCAAATAGTGTGGTAGATCATTGCCAGTGTTTTAGAGGAATCTTCTACTCCCTCTGACAGAGGCAGCATGTTCCATGTGTCAGACATGGCGTCACATCCCAGAAGACAGTAACCTTGTGTTCCCATGTGTTTTAGATGCCTCAGATCTTGATCACTTATTGGATACATGGATGTATTTTTGCAAAGCAAATTACACTGCATAGAGTACAAAATTACTCCTAATTGTTTTAATCTTAATATTTAACAAGAGTATGGAAGTATACAGCATAAGCTAACCATGAATGTTCCACACAATGGATTATAAATGACATGCTAACATATATGCTTTTCAAATTATTTGTAAAAAAAAAAGTGATGTGAGAAAGGCAAATCATATTCTGGAATTCTGGAGATGTCTTGTTTTAACTGAATAACTAAGATCATAATGAATTCTTTCCATGTAGTAGACATGAATTCACATGCAACTGTTCACCAATAGTTGGTATTCATTCAGATTGGTGAGAAGTCAAAACTGAATGAATAAGCAATCAATATTATGATTTCACTGTTCATTGTTATTACATACACTGATAGATAATTATAGTATATATATGCCTTTACTCCAAAGGGAGCACGCGGTACCTTAGTTGGTTGAGGCACTATCCTACAAGCCGGAAGGTCGTTGGATTTTTCAATTGACCTAATCCTTCCAGCCACACTTTGACCTAGGGGTCGATCCAGCTTCTAACTGAAATCAGTACCATGATTCTTCCTGGAGGTAAAGGTCGGCTGGCGCATAAGGCTGACAACCTCACCGCCATCTGTGAGCCGATTATCTGGAAAATGTGGGAGCTTCGACGTCTCATAACTCTGTGGGTTCCCACAGACTGTTACAGTGAAAGATTTACCGTTTTTTTTTAATTCGCTTAGTGGGGGATGGAGTTCAACTGGGTCCACTCGGCATGGCGGCCACTGATTGGACTATTGTACCTACCCCGGGTGATTATGATGGAGAATTTGGTGGAATGAAGATTGGGGGAAACCGAAGTACTCGGAGAAAACCCGCCCCAGCGCCACTATGTCCACCACAAATCCCACTTGAGCAGACCCGGGATCGAACCCGAGCCGCAGCGGTGGGAAGCCAGCGACTAACCGCTTCAGCTATGGCGCGGCCCAAGCTTTACCGTTACTTCAAGAACACAGTAATGGGGCACTGCAGTAAAACAATGGAGCAAATCTGATTTCAAAACATTCTAAACTCTGTCAAGACTTTCTTTTGTTTTCTCTTAATGCGATCTGTTGGCAAAACAACTGAAACACTTATTTTCCTGTGTACTGACCTATTATGATCGAGAATAAAATACCTTGCCAGCACAATAAATTACAAGAAAACATATTTATATCCACGAAGACAGACCTATGAATTTAGGTGGGGAGGGGGGGGCCTTCGTTTAATTATTTTCAAGAATGAAAGACTCCAGTAGTAATAAGGTATGTTCGGAAACCATCCTTGATTCCTGAATACACAATTTACGAAATGTACGCACTCCATCACATCTCGAAAAATCGTATGATTTAAGGAAGAAATGCGTTTTGGACATTGAACATATGAGTCTAACAGTATCAACTCACCTGATCGAGTCACCACTGCCTCAACTTTGTGTTGCATAAAGGCAGCCCTGAAGCCGTTCCGCACTGTGACCCTGCAAATGTCAGCCCTGTCATTAATATACTTTCATACGTCGAATTGGAGAAACGGATGCGGCTCCATTGGTGTTTTGTTCATCCCCACTGCCCCCAACATCCATTCCACATTTGCATGTGTGCTCCACTTCCCCTTCATCCGCTCATAAACGTTCAGCCCTTCCGTCTTTTCGATTCGTTAGTATCCTAATTCTGAGTATATCTTCCGTCAAGAGGAGAAGTGGCTAATTTTACATGAATAATCCGCCAACCCAAATATTTTCTGGAGGTCGATGAGTTACGAAACATGGCTCATTCTCATGACATAAGAGGTGTGTGTGCCACTTTGCTGATGGCTGGATACCGCGACATGCTAGGGGGCACATTAGCAATTTATACTGTGCTGCCCTTGTAATACGAAACTACGAACAATCACACAAACGTTAGTGCCCAGTCAAAGACTAGCCGTAGGACAAAATTTCTACGCGGAACTTCATTAAATTAAGGTTCATGTTTTCAAGCAGGTCTGTAATTACACTGCTACTACATCACCTTCCACTACCGACATTGGTATAACGATTTACGACTGTCTTGCTTTCCGCCACAACTTTCGTCTTTATTCCTTCCTTGCGCAGGCTGCCATGAACGCCATGAAGCACTGGAGCAGCCACGTTGCGCCTGGAGGTAGCGGGTAACTTCCTTGAAGCTAAGTAACGCGTTTCTTTCACAGATGCGTTTTAACGGCCCAAATCAAATTTTTGTGTCAGCCCACCCTCAAAAACCTCAAATTTCAAATCCCGGGACTCTGAGAGTCCCGTAAGAAAGAATGTATTGTGGCATGTCTGCTGAAAGCCCGAATTGTGAAGCCAGCAGACAGCCGTTGCCAGGGAACAGCTCTACAAACACACCTGGGGCGTGGAAGATGGGGGGGTCCACATTGTTGGAAGCGTTGCGCGAAGTTCAGGGATTGTGAGAGGATCTGCAGGCAGCCAGTACATACTAGCCAGGGGTGGACAGCGGCTAGAAGACAGACAGCGACCAGAGGCTGCGGCCATAAAGAGTGTTGCGAGGTAATCGTCGGCCAGTAAGGATACAGCACACAGAAGCTGAGGAATGTATGGGGTTGAGAGCCGTTACTAGGCGACAACCGATAAAGACATCAGACTAAGAAGACTTAAATGCATGCTGTAGTGAATTCTAGAGTGTGTGCCTCCGCGAAACTATTATACTTGACTGTAGTTGCGGGTTTTAAGAGCCCAGTAAATCCGATTGCCAGTCAAACCCCCTGTTTAATAACTTAACACGTAACACTGGCATAATAATATTTCGTAACTTACCAGTGGATCATAATGGGACGAAATGTTCAAATTTGCTGAAAGAAACTTTTATTTTCAGAAAGAAAATTTACGATATTCAGATGCGAGGAGATGGAGAAGTAGGGTAACATGGGGCAAAATGAGACAGATGTTATTTCCTATACATCAATGGCGCCTTATCAGAAAATGCTGTAACTACTTACTGAAGCTCTTATCCTGGTTCAGTACGATTGCCGTTGTTACATGTATTTCTTATTTTGTTGTTCACGGGCAACACGTCACAATATTGTGTTCCTGCGTGTCTTAAGCCTATGTCTATTGTGTAGTTATAATATTAAGGCGCACAGCTCAAATTCTACCCAAGTTAGTTACCATGTCAATCTTTTTCGTGTTGCTGGTTTTTAAGTTACATCCATTTGCATTCACGTAGTGCATCTGGGACACAGTGAAACGTTTCGCCAGGGCTCAGGTTTCCCATTTCTTTGTGCCCCAGCGTTACTAGCAATTTTGTTTCTTTCTTCTTCGCGTGCAGTTATGTTACACTAATAGTGTTTAGTTTTCGACTTCTCTGTTTAAGCAGATGGGCAACACTACTGCTGTTGAATTTAATAAATATTGTGGCAAGTGCTGTGTAAATATTCCATTAACAGCAAATACATATTGTGACGTGATTAACTAGATGGGGTTTGGATTGATGACCGGATTTATTGGACTTTTTGATACAGGGCTCCGCATATTACGCGATTAGAGCCCTAAAATCTTACATGTCTCAGGGTAAATTAAGAATGATTTACTTTTTTTACTTCCATTCAATTATGACCTATGTTTCGGTTTTTTGGGGTAATTCCCCTTATAGTATTCATATCTTTAGGTTGCAAAAAAGGGCGATTAGAATTATAATGAACTCTGGGAACAGATTCATGTAGGGAATTGTTCAGGGAACTGGAAATTTTACCCCCTCAATCTCAGTATATATTTTCTCCTGCAATGTTCGTGGTTAATAATAAAGATCAATTTAAGTTAAATTCTGAGTTATATAATAGGAATACAAGATATAATAATAAATTCCATTATCCTACATGTAAGTTGACTGTATTTCAGAAAGGAGTGTATTACCATGGTATTAAGGTTTTTAATTGGCTTCCTCCTAATATAAGGAACCTGGCTCAAGATGTTAAACATTTTAAAATTGTTTTAAGAAGATTTCTGTTGATGAACTCGTTTTATTCCTTGGAAGAATACTTTGACTGTAAATTTGACTCCAATAATTAACTGTGATTATGGTATTGAATAATGTAACGAGTCTTATATTGTTATTTCTATGTAGTGTTATTTGTATTATCAATTACTAATTCCTTATCCTATATGTAGTGGATTTATGGAATGTAAATAAATGATGATGATGATGACTACACTTTACAGTTTACTATTACACACACTAACGTCCACAGTCACGTCTTCACTAGCCGCTGCTTGGTAGCGGCTTCCAACGGCGGGCGTTCCTCTTCCTCTGGGTTCTGGAACTGCCACCGCTCTCAGCTAGCAGCAACAGCTCACAACGACTGTACCGCAGCAGTTCTCGAACTAACTCAGCAACCACGGACCGCGTAGAAAACATCACTACCTAATATTGTATTCTCTTGTTGCCGTGGAAACAGGCTTGTTTGAGGAACTGTTCCTTTTCAACGGCTGTTGTATAGTTGCTTATTTCGCGGTCGTTGCCGAACAACGGGTCTACATGTCACAATATATTTCGTGTTCACAGGAGACATATTATGTGAAACAAGAAAAGGAAACTGGAAAGTGGAATCTCTCTGAAGGCAGTATGTATGAAGCCTCCCCCCACTCAATATATTATTATTATTATTATTATTATTATTATTGTTGATATTTTACTGCAACTGGTTGTTCACCCGGTGGTAGTAGAACTTACAGTTATACAAACAAGGAGAGTCTATAACATAAGGGAAAAATACAGGTGTACAGACAAGGTACACACAGTGCAAATCCAAACATATAAAGTCATCAAAGAGCACGTGCTTGTGTTCGTTTCACTGCACTCGAACAAGGACACTTCACATTACTTCACTTGTTTAATTCAACTCCGCCTAAGACCTCTGTAGTTGCAACAGCTTTCTTAACCCTTTCCAAAAGTGTTTAGTTTGCATGGAATAATGATGCGAAATTCTGAGATGAAAAATGGAGCAAAATGCCCAACACTTGTCCGACATGCCCTAGGAAGACAAAACCGATGATGGTGAAAACATTAGAATCAGACCTCACTATGATTCCCGTCAAGTTTCTATGTCGGAGAAAGAGAAGGTTTTAACTAATTATATTAAATTGCTCAAAATGTACTATGGCCTCACTTTCAAAGATACATATGTGGCCTGTGAAATGGCTAAGCGCCACGCCTAGGAACCTGAACATAAAATCAAGTGGCAGGAATTGCCTTTTTGAAGAAAAATTCGTGGCTGACGTCGATCTCCCGAAAGATGTGGCTTATAAAAAGTAGCATCGCGTGACAGGACAAACAGTAACTTTCTTTCGGACAGCTTGGTATAGATTTTAAAATCGTATGCCCAATTCACATATGGACCTAGGATAATTAACCTAAACATGACTAGTAGTTACTATAGGATTCTGACGATGGTGTATAACACACAGAGATATTGGGTTTTCGGACCTTATCCATCGTCCTGGTTTTTAAGATAACTAAGAAAAACACGTTTCGGAAACTGGATCTGTTTCCGTCCTCAGACCAGTGATCGAGTGATTTCTAAGGGACCCAACAGAATAGGTGTTTTCCCTCACCTGAGGATGAAAACAGATCCAGTTTCCGAATCGTCGTGTTTTTCTTAGTTATCTTATTTTTTATTTGTTTATTTCGTCTCTATAGATCATTGTTACATGATACAGGACAAGTCAGTTAAAAACCAGGACGATGGATAAAGTCCGAAAACCCAATATCTCTAAACATGACTGCTATGAGGGAGTCAGTAAATAGGTTACAAATGGATGCTAAACGTAAAAAATGTGATATTCAAACCTGGAAAAACAATTTGTAGTGTCTGCGAACTGGCTGCTTATCAAGCAAGACTAAGCTCAACGATTTAGTTCGTAATAATGTTTACGCAATCCGTGTACCTCAGTCACATCTACTCTCTGCCATCGGAACATTCAAATTGTTCAAAAGTCTCAAGAGCTCAAGAGTGCATGAATACCGGATGTCTTTAGTAAACACAATCTAGTAACTTCTTTTTTATGATAACGTGACCGAACGTGACGTTAAACTTCACTATCTTGTGATCACGACTTGGTTGGTTCCTTATTGCGTCATCACGGATCACTAGATGTCACATCTTTATAGTTTATATGTCACCATGGATTACAAAATTTTATATTGTACGGTTAAGTAACTAACCATCCTGATCCTAAAGTTGCTAAAGATTCTAAATCTGTACGTCGGATAAACCATGGCTGCGAGCGAGAGCATCTCGTATTACTTAGTGGTCATTTAGTCAATTCGCCTTTGTTTATAACGCCACGATTGAATCAGTATTGTACGACATGTATGTGCATCACATGAACATTCGCCAGGATCATTATGCATACGGTTCAGAGAAGCTAATAAGTACGAGTGGAATGATCCCGCATTTCCATAGAAAATTCAATTGTTTCGAGAATAATAGGGTAGTTACGACTTGTTACAGTAGACCAATATAACCACGGATCCCTAAATAAATTATAACCTTAGCTACTTTGATCGATTTTAATTAGTACCCAACCGTACGCAACTTCTGTAGTTCTGTAAGTTTAACGACTATTGAAGAACGGCGAAGTTATGCAGAGTCTGGTAACATAATGCCACGGATTGATTATGTCTATATCGTAATTCACTTTATATTTAGCTGTTTCTAAATATGCGACAATTGTAAAGTGCAGTTATGTATGTGGTAAGGTATAATGTATTGTATTTATTTTTCGGGGTATACGTCTGAATGCGAATGGGTATTTTTTTAGTGCATGCTCAAATTATTATCGTGTACGGAAGAAACAGAACCTAAGGATTGCAGCTGCTTGTCTTAATATGCAGGTTTGATGTGACATACGCATGAAGAACTGAACTTACGTACCGACTTGTGATCCGTGTTGAGAAGCTCGGAAACGAAAGTGCGTTCGTTACACAGCTTGTACCGCCTTGTATTGTATAAGATTGCTGGTTTATTGAGAATATTGGCGGGTTTAGATGTCGAGATTGGGCTCCAGTTTAAGGTATTCGAAATTTGGTGAGTTATATTTATAATTATTATATTTGGAATAATTATTTGTCAGATTTAATATATCAGTTTTCTTCCTTGTGTAAGTGTGGATAGCGATAGTGTAGTCGGAATAGCGATAGCTTATTTGCCGGACGGCTGAGAGATAGGGGTTGGAGTCCCGGCAGAGGCAATTTTTTTTTTGCTCTCCACGTCGTCCAGACCGGTTCCTCGGCGCCCCCCCCCCAGCCTCTGTCCAGCGGGTACCAGATAGCTTTCCCCAGGGGGCAAACCAGTCGGGGCGTGAAGGTGACCAATCCCAATGAGTACTGAAGTAAAGAATACATGATTCAGTATATCCATTCTCCACTTTGTCTTCAAGCTGTGGTGCTTAATTTTTTAAGCACATGGACAATTTTAATGGTTTACCCTTAAAAATACCCCATGGAAAGACATCTTATAGGTTGATGTGTGATACTTAAATAGTCCTGATGAGCTCATTTTGAAAGTGAGGCTGGGTTGGTATCAAACTTTCAACATAAGTGTTGTTTTATTTCAACTTTAATTCTTTTTATAGGTTTTGTATTTAAATTGAGTGGACTTCTTCGCACTATGTGTGATACAGCATCTGCTGTCAGCAGTGAAGGAGAGAGCAAGAAAAGACCATTGCAGGACATTGATACAACAGACTCAAAGAAACAGTGTACAGAACCAGATAGGGTGAAAAAGAGGAAAGTTGCATTGCTTCTGGCCTATTCAGGACAAGGATATTTAGGAATGCAGAGGTTTGTCCTTTTACACCTGTGTAACATTACATACCATGTAGCTGATACATGTTAGAGACTGATGGGGCTTAGACCACCACCATATTTAACTGTTATGTTAACTGTTTTTGATATCAGGATGATGAAAACCTGTGGATGGATGAGTGTTGGGGAGGAAGTGATTGTGGTGTTATAACTATCTGTCCTGAGGAAGTGTCCTGAATGAGACCTGGGGTCATTGCTGTAGAGTTGGTTATGTGACATTCTGCTGTACTGTTCTTCATACAGGTTGCATATATTAATTTGTTTCTTATTTGAATGGTTGAAGGGGTGGGGGTCTTCATCTTCATAAGTCCTAATACCAGGTGTTCAGTTAAGACAGAAACGTGCTGCTTGTGACAGTATAATAGTAGTTTACTGTGTTTCTATAGAGACAACATCATGGGTTTTCCCTGCATGCTGATCTCTCTACTCTATAGCTTACCTTCGTTACTTATTACTGTAAAAAAGTGACATAAACTTAACATGTTTTGTAAGTATTTCAAGCATTGACCCTATTCTGTTTTCAAGGATGCCTCGCATCATGAAAACATGTTTTTGTGACACATTCTTAAGTTCTAATATGATTCAACACATTGCACATGTACCAGTCTGAATTCATGGTTTGCTGAAAATCAAATGTGTACTAAACCTAAATATGAAATGGAGGTGAGTAGTCAGCCTCATGCCCTGATCACTTTGCCCTCGGGTAAAGAGCTCCTGGCATTCATTGACCAGAAGGCCAGGTGGGCATCAAGACTGATTCTTGGCTCAGTGAGGGAGCAAACCCTGTTACTGGTCCATTCCGTAGCTTATTTATGAAAACTCAGTTGAGAATCCTATACCCCCTTGAGACTGTAATGGAATTCAGACTTGAAGATATAAAATATGAGCAGGATTGACCCATTTTCCATTACCATATGAATCACACAATTTGTTGACTGCACAGATGACTCATGCTGTTGAGTTACCTAGTGACTGCCACCCAAAACATCCAGCATGAGCGCAGCATTGCTATGTTTCCTTTTTATCTCAATTTTCTGTTGCATAGTATGAGAGGTTCATGTGAATGATGTGCTGATTAACACATTAAAGACCAGCAATTTAAATATTTAAATCACCCTGGGGGCCAGCATTTTTAAACCCAGTACCCTAACTTGTGCACTGTTCACTTTAAAAAAATCTCCTAATTAATTTTATTAACTAAAATTTTTGGAGAACACTTACCAATGCTCCTAGAAGTGCTTGAGAGTGTGATATTTCTGGAAACATTCCCCTTTGTGAAGTGGCATTACACAGAACTTGCAAATGTAGGCTGTCATACTCTTTTTCTGTGAACTGCGCAAACACAGCATTGCCTAGAAGGATGCTTCCTCTTGGAATGTTCACTCTTCACAATTTTCATGAGGGTATGTTTCCACATATCACCCGAGAGTTGCCCAGGGAGGTCCACATGAGGCCTGCGTGGGGTGGGAGTTGATGGGCCCAGTCGCACTAAGTCTGTCTGACTCTAGTTCTGCTGCCACCATCTGGTCTGTAGCCCAGGCCTTTGCCACATTCATCAGAAATGCTTTGTATTTCAATTTTGAATGAGGGTTTAGATTTTTGAAACCCAAAAATGAATTGAAAATGGCACAATATATAAGCCACAAGGCAACTCTCTTTGTCCACTTTATTCTTTTCCTAGGAAGAGAATCATTGGCCAAGTATTGATCGGCTCTATCAGCTCCCTTCATGAACATACGTGGGCAGGCTGAAAAGTAATGCACACATGCTTGTAGAGCGCGAACAGAAACAAATAGCAAGATCGGGCAAAAAGTACATTGAAGTACAATTCTTAAGTTTCAAAAGCATATATTTGTTTTTCAACATAGTCACCGTTAAGGCTAACACATCTCTCCCAACGTGTAACAAGTTTTTTCATTCCGTCACTGAAAAATTCTTCCGACTTTTCTCAAATCCAGGACTTGACAGCTGCCTTCACCTCATCGTCCGAGGTGTAATGATCACCCTTGAGGTCTCTCTTGAGTAGAGGAAAAAAATAAAAATCGCAAGGCGGAAGATCGGGGGAATAAGGAGGGTGTGGAATCGGTTCAAACTTCAGGTTTCGCAGAGCCTCTTCAGTTGTGCGCGAGGTGTGTTGATGAGCGTTGTCATGTTGCAAGATTATTGGCACCAGGCTGCCTGTAACACGACAAACTCAACGCCGGAGGTGTTTTAGAGTCTGTATGTACTGAGAAGAATTTACCGTTGCCCCTCGTTCCAGAAAATCAGTCACATAATCTCGGTGAGCATCCCAGAACACAGTCAAAAGAAGTTTTTTGGCAGATGGTTGTGTTTTGAACTTTTTCACCTGAGGAGAAGACGGATGTCGATATTCAGCGCTCTGTCTTTTCTCTTCCGGGTCGTAACGATGGACCCATGACTTGTCCCCCATCACAATATTCAAAAGAAAGTCGTCTCCTTCGTCATGGTAGCGCTGCAAAAGTTGCTCGCAGCATTCCAATCGACGCTGTTTGTTCTCGTCTGTGAGATGGCGTGGTACCCATCGTGCACAGATTTTACGGTATCCCAGTTGTTCAATAATGAAGCCGACACATTCCTTGGATATTCCAATATGTTTTGCGATACGCTTTTGAGTGATTCACCGGTCATTTTGAATGAAATCGTTGACGAGTTTGCGATGATTATCGTCTGTGGCAGTAATTGGACGTCCGCTGCATGTTTCATCAACAATTATGGCTTTTCCAGGCTCGCAACCACGAAAATTTATTACCCATCGATTTACAATAGACCTATCAGATGAATCTCAGTAGGAGTCACTTTTTCAGCAGTTAAAAATTCGATAACAGCACGCTGTTTAACTCTCGACATAGCACTAGAACACGTCTCCATACTTCTGCTTCTCGAAATACACTGGATGAACGCAACAACCTCAAACCTGCGCATGCATATTGAGGGGAAATGTTACTTTCACATGCCACCTGGCGCACTTCTGAAGGTCATTTCGTTTGCACTCTACAAGCATGTGTGCATTACTTTTCAGCCTACCTACGTATTATACTCAGAAATACAAATAGGCTTCTTTACTTGTCCATGTCTCCTTTGAACTTCAACCCTGCTCGAATTGTAAATTGTGGCAATCATATTCACAACACAAATATCCCTATCTCTGAAAAACAGTTCTGCAACTTCAGACACTTGCGTTGGGTCCGTTGGAATTTGTTTCACCCCTGGATTTCCAGTAAACTGTCCCAAAGTAGGCATTTTGTCTACTTTTCCCCATGTGGCTGTCCCTTCAATTTTACTACCTGCACTTTTATTAGAGCTACTTTCACTTTTATTGTCTGTGGCCACAATTGTTTGTTGCCCCCTGTCACTGCCACTGTCTCACTTTCACTACTCCTCTCACAAGTCAGACAGCTCATCGGGGAAAAAGTCAGATATTTATTAGAGATTGTTTGGTCTTCAACCGCTTCTGTCCTTGATTCATATTGCACTAACTTCCTGCCTGGTACATAACAGCTTGAAGGGTCAAAGATCATCTTCCTTTGGAAGGGGAACCAAAACAGCGAGGTTGAGTTACTGCCTACTAAGCAAACATTCCGGCATAATATTACGCAGTAGTCATTCATTTGGGTGGCACCAGAGAAAGGTATAGTGTGGTACGACCTAACATGTCCTGAAATCATGATATCATGCGACCGATCCGCCATGTTTGAAAGCCAAAAGCATGATATCATGTGACTGGTCCTCAATGTGTTAAGGATGTAGGAAGGTGTTGGTGAGTGAGTGAGTGAGTGAGTTTTGGGGCATGCCAGTTTCAGTGGCTTAAGGAACTGTCCCATCATTTGCCTGGAGGGACTTAGGAAAACTGGGAAAACTTGATTGGGAAGTGTATAGAGGTAGATTTCCATGCACCAGATAGAGAAGAGCGGTTATCATCACACTGCAGCCAATATTAACACGTGTTGTAGAAGTCAGGGAATAATAGTAGGCTTTTGGGATTAAAGTGGTGACTATCTAGAATGTGTACAGGAGGGAGTTTCCTGATCAGTTTTCTTAAGAATGCTGTACCATAGATTCCATAAAATTGCCATTAATTTTGTCACACAGAAATCCTGGCATGAAAACAATTGAAGAAGACCTGTTGACTGCTTTGCTAAAAGCAAGTTTTATAACCGAGGAGGCTTTCAATACGCCCCAGTTGATTCAGTTCCAACGAGCAGCTCGTACAGACAAAGGTGTCTCTGCTGCACGTCAGGTAGTCTCCATCAAATTACGTGAGTAAACTTCATATACCCATTTATCTTATGAGGAATTTTTGATGTTAGCACTGTGAGAAAAAATTCTTTGAGATGTTTGTTGTTTTTGTAGCTGAAGATTCAAAGGTGGAAATGATCAATAACCACCTACCTGAACAGATCCATGTATTGGCAGTTAAACGTGCAACTAAAGGATTCAACAGCAAGAGTTCATGTGATGCTCGAACATACTCATACATATTGCCAACATTTGCATTTGCACCATCTAATGTGGAACCCAGTGAATCTTACCGTATCACATCAGAAGTGATGGACAGTGTTAGATCTACACTCAAGATATTTGAGGGGACACACAATTTTCACAATTTTACTGCCCGAAAGTATGTGTAATAAAGTGTAAATAAACGAAACTTATAATTTTATCAGTAAGCATAGGTATTAATAAACCAATACTTCCTTTTCCAGGAAACCACTGGATCCAAGTGCCAACCGCTATATCATGAGCTTTGAAATGGGAGAACCTTTCATATGTAAAGGCCTTGAATTTTCCGAGTTGAGAGTCAAGGGACAAAGTTTTATGCTACATCAGATCCGGAAAATGGTGGGTTTGACCATTGCAGTGGCTAGAGGGCTTGCTTCCGTCCATACTATACACAGAGCGTGGAAAACAGAGCGATTAGATCTCCCTGTAGCTCCAGGGCTTGGATTGATTCTTGAGGAGGTAAAATCCCTTACCTTACACTATTTCATAATAGAACCCAAAGATTTCACATCAGTTTACCAGAGACTACCATTGGACACAATCTTGAGTCAGTTTCAGCTATCTCCTGACTTCAACCTTTTTCTCTAAGATTCATTTTAATGCCATTCTCCCATCTTTTTAGTCTTCTGTGTGACTTCCTTCCAAGAGGTTTCTGCACTCCAAATTTCCCAAACCTGGCTACATGCCCAGTCCTCTGTAATCTAGATGACACTATCATAACACTGTTAGGCGACCTTTATAATTCATTATGGCCGTTAATGTTTAATATCCTTAAGTGCCCACATATTCATCTGTATTGATAAATTTACTCAGGGTTTTCCTTGCAAGGGAAGTTTATTTCCAGAACTTTTAGTTTAGCCCCATGCTACTCATACCTTCCATCATGTAAAACTCTTTCAATCAGAGATTATATATGCTAATCCCTTAATATTCTTCTTCAGAAGTGCATTTCATTATCACATAAAATGAGGTATACATGTCCACACATTACAGTGAAAAGGTGAAAATTCATTACTACCAATTCTGATTATTAACTATTATAGCCTTCAAGCGGAGTAGACCAATTAGTTTTTCCTAATAAGAACTATAAATTACTGCTGCTGTTGGTAGAAACCCAAATGAGAGTTGGAAGGTCTAGTATATTTACTGCTGTTTTCAGTGAAAGTTAGTTCTTCCTACATCTCCATTAGAATTAATTCTTGCTGCTTTTTGTTATATGGTGAAATGTCCCATAATTATTACTCAGATTTTATTAAGTCTGCTGGATATTTATCAAAGTTGTTGTAATTCAGAATAGTTAATTTTCCGTTCTTATTTTTTCCCCAAAATTGTTGCAAGAAGTTTTACATGCAAGAAATGCCCTTCAATACTACAGTATGGTGTGACTAGTTTGCTCAGTGCATTGCAGTTTGAAGAAATTTGTCCTACATGGATGTAAAAAGACGTCACTTGGTGTAAGTTATTCGCTCTCATCCGTTTTTGACAGTGACCACATATTTAGAATGTATCTCACCCCATAACCCTAGCTAAAAATGATAATTATTTAAACGGTTTTTGATATGTAGATATTAATTAAATAATAAATGCATACATATTCCAAGAAGCAGAGAAAAACTTCAAACATACAACCTTTGTCCATAAAGTTCCGAGACTGATTTAATATCTTGGCTTAGGTAAATGGTGGCAGTTCCGAGAAAAAGTGTTCTAAATACGGGACATTTTACAGCTCGCCTGTATTATTGATGTTAGTTTGCTCAACTTCCTCTAGGCGGCAGGGCATGGCGGAAAACCCGTGTCAATTGTCGGTTGTGGATTTGTGCTGTGAACGTTCATTTTGAATGAGTTAACATCAAATTTTGTGTGAAGCTGGGCAAGGTAGCCACAGAGACATTGCAGCTTCTGTGTGATGCATATGCGATGAAACGTTATCTCGGGTTTGAGTTTTTGATTGGCACAGGCAATTCATGTCGGGCAGAGTGTCAGTGGAGGATGACACAAGATCAGGCCGGCCTTCAGTTTCCCAGAATGAAGACAACGTGGTTCACATCAGAGACATGGTACAGGAAGACCATACTGTTACAGTGCGCATGTTAGCTGATGCCCTGAATATCAGTAAGTCAACCTGCCACCAAAATCTGCGAGAGGACTTTGGGTAAACGAAAACTCAGTGCCAAGCAAGTCTCTCTCTCTCACACACACACACACACACACACACCAAGTATACACAGAAACTTTTCTTCCACATTGAGTCAGTTCTTGTTTAGTTTCTGTTTGAAGCAAACTCCAAGACCCAGGTTCTCACTTATAGACACTTGGGATGTGGAACAGGATTTTAAAACTTATGTTTGCAATGTTCTCTTGCTATCCCACAAATCTATGAACTCAAAAATTGTCACTGATTGGGTAGAAAGCTACAGTATGACGACTGTGTTATTTACCATTTTGATAAAGTTGTCTTGTACTATATCTCTTATACCATAACTTGGAATGTAAGTGGTGTTTTGGTGTTCAGTGTGTGTGACTTATCAGAAACATTTTAAATAATTGCTTTCAAGCTTAGGAAATTATCTTGATGTGATTATATCCGGCCCGCAAAAGAATTTTGCAGAAATGCGCAACTTGAACTAATTTTCCAGTGAGTACTGGTAAGAAAAATACTTGTTCATAGATTTCAAATTCAAATTGTGTTTAAAATATACTGATATTCCATATTATGTTAATATTGTCGCGTATTGGGCGTATATCGCGACAAATAACTTCACGCCGTATTTTATATAGCGAATTTTATTTCACATTCGCACTTACAATCACCCAAATTACAGATTTACGATTACTGCTATCTGCAGTATCACAATTAGTACACTCCAAATGCCACAATGCAACTGACTAGTTGCTGGCTAACTCGGAACTAACTCGGAGGTAGCTCCAGGACTGACTGACTGACTGACTCTGAATAGCCTTCACTGCTCCTTATGTAGCCTTGATCGGACAGTTGTCGTCTGGTGCCTTGTTGCTAGCCACGCTGTCCGGAGTTGTTGACTGCTGCCTAGCAACCGCGATATCCCTCGGTGACGTCACCGCGCGTTGCATAGCTACCAGGATGCGGGGTGATTACTCGCCTATTACACGAGCGCTACGTTACCGCTACGTGCCGCTGGTGGGGGGGGTCAACATGTCACACTGCTCCCTCCTTAAGGCTGTTCGTCCCGAATAGCCTAACGGTGCATCCCCGTTCCTTTTCCTCGGTGGCTGTTCTTGCAGGGTCTCCTGTTGTTTCGGCTACTCTTCTTGCAGCGACTATTCTTCGTCCGTTACATCTGCTCCCTTCTTAAGACAAGCTCGTCTCGAGCGGTTTCCTTTCAGCTCGCCAGAAGATCACATTCATCCATCGCTTTTTCCCATGGCACATTCACTCTCTCTGGGGAGGCCGGTTCTCCTATTTTACCGGCTCCTCTTCCGTGCCTGCTTCTTTTTTCGTTTTGGAGGGGGTCGACCCCTCCACAGTGTCCAATCCTTGCCATGTCGTAGGCAGACAGAAAATCCGGCTACTCGCTTGGCGATCTGCAGTCCTGCAGTTTTTCTCATGTCTGCTTCCTTCACATATCGCAGCTGTCCGCTGCCTAGGTCCTTCACTTCATTTCTGCGTTGTAGTTGCTGTCTCAGGCCTCGGTTCCTGATGCCAGTGTTGCGTTCCGGGCCTATCCACAGTCTCTTCCCGAACGTCCGTTTCTTGGTGATTTCCGGTGCGACCTTATTCTTGATCTGTCCCATACGCCTGTGTCCTACACAGCGTGTAATCTTTATTCCAATGGCGGTCACTTCTTTCCGCTGGCATCCAAAGGTTCCCAGGGGAATATCCTTCTTGAAGGCAATTCTCCAACGTCGTGCCACTGTCGCGCGACGGGATGACTTCCTGAAGGGAGCAGCCAACTTCATCCGGGGTCCACAGTTTTCCCGTGTCGAATTCTTTATATTTCGTCGATGTCGGTCCCTGCGCCTTTTCTTCTTCGGTTCTCCGACCGGCATTACTTCGGCGTCTTGTATGGGTACCTCTAGTAGTTCTGCCGCCTCAGGTTTCCTGTGCACTGAAGCCGGCACTTCTTCTGGACATGCCTCCGATTCTCGGCAGGCCATCTTCACTCCGACCGGTATTGCAATGGGGACCTCTTCTTGTTGTGCAGCCGCAGGTTTCGTGTCCACTGGGCAGGCCACCATCTCCTTTTGGGTAATTGGCATCAATTCATCTTCAGGTTTACTGAACGGTATCACTGCGACGTCGTCTGCAGGGACCTCTTCTTGTTGTTCCGCCTCAGGTTTCATGTCCACTGGGGCCGGCTTTTCTTCTTCTAGATATGCCTCCATCTCTTGACAGGCTATCATCTTTAAGCCTCTTTCGGGANTTACAATCACCCAAATTACAGATTTACGATTACTGCTATCTGTAGTATCACAATTAGTACACTCCAAATGCCACAATACAACTGACTAGTTGCTGGCTAACTCGGAACTAACTCGGAGGTAGCTCGAGGACTGACTCGTAGGTAGCTCCAGGACTGACTGACTGACTCTGAATAGCCTTCGCTGCTCCTTATGTAGCCTTGATCGGACAATTGTCGTCTGGTGCCTTGTTGCTAGCCACGCTGTCCGGAGTTGTTGACTGCTGCCTAGCAACCGCGATATCCCTCGGTGACGTCACCGCGCGTTGCATAGCTACCAGGATGCGGGGTGATTACTCGCCTATTACGCGAGCGCTACGTGCCGCTGGGGGGGGGGTCAACATGTCACAATATTAATATTATTCACAATTTTACTAAATCTGGACCGTGTACTGCGCGGTATTTCTTCATACTTGTTCGGCCTCGATCAGCAGTGTCACTTCGCAGCAATGTAGGTAGCACGAGCAGTTCGTTACTAGTCGTCTTGTGCACAAGACTTCTTGCAGTGGTGCAGTGTAATTGTAACAGATCATCATCGCCGGTGNATTATCAAGGCATTCAGAGCAAAGTTGATACTTCTGGAAAGCCAAGTGAAAAATTGTAACTTTGTTCATATGCTATACTGTGCAGAGTTGCATAAAAAGAGTGAAGCAGAATTTCCTTCCTCGTTTGCAAATCTAGTCATTTCAGATTTGAAAGAACGATTTCGGAAGCGATTTGCTGATTTGGATTCCAGTGCTCAGGAAATTAGATTGTTTCAAAATCCGTTTGACTATGATGCTGCAGATGTCCCAAGTCAAATTCAAATGGAAATTATTGAACTTCAGGAAAATTATCATTTTAAAGCCAAATACAAGGAAGGAATTTCTGAACTCTGAGCAGTTTCCAAATTTAAAGAAATTTGCTTGTAAATTTATCTCCATTTTTGGGATGGCATATCTGTGTGGACAAACTTTTTCCCAGATGAAGTACATCAAGTCAAAATACAGGGCAAATTTATCCGATGAACATTTAAAGTCGCTACTTATGATTAGCGTTTCAAAATTTGAACCTCAATTTAATCAGATTTTAAGAACGCAGAAAGAGTTCCATCATTCACATTAACTGTTTTATTATAATTTGTGATGAAAATATGAGCACTTGCTGCTACTGTCTGTTATTAATGTACGATAATTTATTCTCACGTATACTGTATTTACTTTATGAAATTCTGTGCTTTCAATAAAACTCATATACCTAGAGTTATTAATTTCTCATTTTATCCGGCCCGTTGAATGTGCTGAAGTACCTAATGTGGCCCATGATTTGAAAAGTTTGGCTGCCCCTGGTCTAGAAGTAAACGCAGAGAAAACACTCTGGTAATATTTGCTACCATTCAGTCCAGAGCCTTTTGCCTCCCTGTATGCTGTCTAAAAACATAAAAATTAGAATATACAAAACTATAATTTTGCCTGTGGTTCTGTATGGGTGTGAAACTTGGTCTCTGACATTAAGGGAGGAACATAGACTGAGGGTGTTTAAGAAGAGGGTGTTGAGAATATTTGGACTGAAGAGTGGTGAAGTGACAGAAAGTTGGAGAAAACTGCATAATGAGGAACTTGGTGACTTGTACACTTATCCAAGTGCAATTAGAATGACCAATCAAGGAGGATGAGATGGGCAGGGCATGTAGCACGAATGGGGGCGAGGAGGAATGCATATAGGATATTGGGGGGGAGAGCCGGAAGGGAGGATGCGACTGGGAAGACCAAGGCGTAGGTGGGCAGACAATATAAAAATGGATCTTAGAGAAACCGAATGGAATGGTATGGATTGGATTGATCTGGCTCAGTATAGGGGCCGGTGGAGGGCTCTTGTGAACATGGTAATGAACTTTCAGGTTCCATGAAATGTTGGGAAGTTCTTGAGTAGGTGACAAATGGCGTCTTCTCAAGAAGGGTTCAGCTCCATGAGTGAGTGAGTGAAACTTCTATTCAGAGGTGAAGAAGTTTCTTTTTACAGCATGAGCTGCATAAATTAAATAATAATGCCTTCTTAATATTGAGCTCTAAAATCATAAATTTCAGTTCATAATGGCTTAAGTTTTTAACATAATATTGGATTTAACATTTCATAGAAATTTATGACTCTGATCTTAAATCCTTGTTTTTATGAATGTGAATTGTAAAAATAAGTACCCTCCCTAAGGATAGTCTCATGAGACCAAAACTTGTCGGAGTATTAACAACATGAGAAATAAGCCACATATGCTTAGATGGTGATTTACATCTTCTCTTTTAATATCATGCTGTTTTCCTTAGGTACATTATGAAAGATATAACCAGCGTTTTGGAAAAGATGGAATTCATGAACCACTGGATTGGTCTGAAGTTGAGGCTGAAGTGACAGCATTCAAGGAGAATTTCATCTATCCGACAATAACTGAATCAGAAGTTGAAGAAAAGTCGTATCCTTTTGCTGTTGTTAATTCACTGATCATGCAGAACCTCAGTACATGAAGGTAAAATGTATGTGATTACCGAGCTTTTGGACCCTAGCCATCTGTTTCCATCCTCAGGTGAAAGGGTGAGAAGCATCTACTCTGTAGATGACTCTCACATTTTAACTTAGTATGGAAACATATCCAGTTTCTGAAAGGTTCTGTTCTTCAGAATACTGGATGATGGACAGATTCTGAGAACTCAGTAATTCCAAGCATTGTACATCAGCATCAGGACCATTTAGAATAAATTAGTTACTATAGGATTCTGACGATAGTGTATAACACACAGAGATATTGGGTTTTCAGACTTTATCCATCGTCCTGGTTTTTAAGATAACTAAGAAAAACACGACGTTTCAGAAACTGGATCTGTTTCCATCCTCAGGTGAGGAAAAACACCTATTCTGTTGGGTCCCTTAGAAAGAGCTAGCCTCAATCACTGGACCAGTGATTGACAGAAACAGATCCAGTTTCCGAAACTTCGTGTTTTTCTTAGTTATCTTAAAAACCAGGACAATGGATAAAGTCCAAAAACCCAATATCTCTGTGCATTTAGAATAAAGTTCATTTTTTTACTGTAGCAGAATGTTGTAACTACAAAGAGATGGGATAATTTAGGGCTTCTGTTTCCAAGGAACTTCCTGTCTAGCGATTGATGGTTAGTACATTAGTAGTTTGGAAACAGAAGATTTACTTTATACAGGGATGGATATGATTATATTATCCTGTATGAGAATTAGATTGAGATAAGGGTTCCATATTTGTCTGTTTTTCCAGAACATTAACGCCACTTCATTCCATAGCTTGCAGTAGCCAGTAGTATTCAACAGGACTTCTGAAATAAGGAATTAAAGTTAACCATGAAGCTATGATTGACTCCATTTTCTATCAGTGTGTTAAATTAAAAAAAAAGTATATGTTTGCATATGTGGCAACCATGCAACAAAATGAAAAACAAAAAATTACTGAAGATAAAAAATGGTAAGTTCCCTAACACCACAGAATGATGACTTGGTTGGAGACACTTCATTTACATAGCTACAGTATCCGTGAAGATAATTTGTCTCATGGGTTGGCCACACTGGGACAGGCTGCAGATATGGTTGAGGGTATGGGTGATGGTGATCATGGACTGGTTACCCTAGCAAGAGCAGCTGCACAGGTGGTGCAGGAAGGTCATAATGTGATGTATAATGGTGATTCCAACCAACAACCTTCCCCAAATATACCATCACCTTAGGTGAGTATCCTATTCTACAGGAAATTCTTACCTTTGTTGACCAGTTCACAGTTTTGTGCTTCACAGAGACTGGTGCACCACCGCCTGGGATATGCATACATATTTTGCCAGTGAATCAGTATACCTGGTGGGTGATAATGTTTGGAATTAAGGAACATTGTTGACTTTGTGGACCACTTGATGGCCGTATATTTAATGGTGTGCATTGCAGTACATGTGTGGGAATTTATGTTTTGTCATTAAAGGGGGCAGTTATCAGCTCCATTAGGCATTTGTTCTGGGTTACAGTTAGTGAGCAGTGTGTTCTATCATGGTGCAGTGTACTTTAGAGCAACGTGTATTTCTGGATGATACACAACATGAAATAACGGATCTGATAGAAAATGTCTGCTAAAATTTCGACCTAAATTTCATGATGAAAGAGTTCCCAGCAGATAATTCACAATTAGGTGAATAAACTTTGATGAATGGGGCTCTTAATAAACAAAGACATAAGTGCTGAGTGCTTACCGGGGTAAAGTTAGATGACAGAGGGGCCAGATGTGAACCTATGCCTAGAAAGTCACTGAAATGTCTAGCTGAAGAAACTGGAGTGTTAAGAGTTTAATGCAAGAAAGGCAACACAATTGCTGAAGCTCAGACCTTATAAAACAACAGTAATCCACGCCTTGCAGCAGTACAATCCAGCTGGCAGTGTTCATTCTTGCAAGTGATTTCTGCAGTCTGTTATCGAAGGTGAGATCAATCTGCAATTTGACAGGGACAGCATTTTCAACACTTCATGTGAACTGTAACTACTTCATTCTGAATGTTACCAGCCAACAGGCATATTAATTCAGTGGCAAAATTTGTATGTGCCTCACAGCTGGTGGTGCGTCAGTCGCTGTGAAGCACAGATACGTGAATTGGTCAAGAGAGTTAAGAACCTCCCTGTACTTTGCTTACCTGTGCTTTATAAAAGTAGGCATACTGTAGGATTTGGCTTCATTTAATTTTATACAATAAAGAACTATTTGTTACAAACTTAGAGTTTTTGTTTTTGTATATCTATACAGAAGTTCTTTTGCAGCTGATATCTCTCACTTTTGTGATCTACATTCTCAAGACCTCTTGAATATTGCTTGATTGCATCATATTTGTGTACTTTCCTGGATCTGCTGCATGTTCTTTCTGGAAGAGTCCAGTTCTATGTTTTATTTCATCTTCTCTTCACAGTTGTCAAAAATTTCTGTACCACATTGTTTCTCTTTCGTTAGTGTATCACATCTATATATGGAATCATGTAAGTGTTCTGTGCTGATTGATGTGGATGAATAGAAGTACCATTGTGGAGGTGGACAACCACCCAATCAAAAGCTAACATGGCTCTGATGTCAGGAAGAATAAAACATTTGTTACCAGGCTTTAAGAAGCTTCAGAATTACTTCATGACTGGATAATACCCACCTAGACAAGGTCCACAAATTCATGTCCAAGTGCTGTAATCTGAAATCGAAATCCTGCTGGTTAGTATACATCATCAAAACTAATGAACCATTATGTGATGCGTCAGAACAGCTGCAGACTTTTTACAGTTGAGGTAACCTATTTTGTCACTAGATTTGTGCATCTTACAAAAACAACTTAGATAATATTTATGATTGATTTAATTTACAACTTCTCCATAAAAATTCTTAGCTGTATCTGGATAAACTGTCTATGGGGATAAGTCAATAAGTAAGTTACAAATGGATATAGAACTTAAACAAATAAGGGTACTGATTTGAAAAATTCTTTTATTTCTCAACATAATCTCCCTGTACATTGAGGCACTTGTCCCATCATTTCACAAGCCCCTGAAAACCAGCAGCATAAAATTCTTTGGGCTGCTGTCGGAACCAGGTGGTGACTTCCCTTTCTACAGCTTCATCGTGGGGAAAATGTTGAGCCGAAAGATGATGTTTAAGAGGGCCGCACAAATGGAAGTCGCTTGGAGCAAGACTCATCACCTGTGACAATTCAGGCTAGCATATCATGTCATTCATCGTGGTAGCGATTGAGATGCTGTAATGCCAGACCCATTATTTGCATTTTGTGTTGTGGGGTCAGCATGTGCGGCACACATTGTGCTCAGACTTTGTGAAAACCTAACCTGTCGTGCGACTTCCATTTGTTCGGCCCTCTTAAACATTATATTTTGGCTGAACATTTTCCCGATGATGAAGGTGTAGAAAGGGAAGTCATCGTATGGTTCCAACAGCAGCCCAAAGAATTTTATGCTGCTGGTTTTCAGGGGCTTGTGAAATTATGGGACAAGTGCCTCAATGTACAGGGAGATTATGTTGAGAAATAAAAGCATTTTTCAAATCAATACTCTTATTTAAGTTCTATATCCATTTGTAACTTACTTATTGACTTACCTACGTATATATGCCTCATATTAATTTCAAATATCTTTTAGCAACTGTGCAGTATGTTATACAGAACGGTTTATTTGAAACCATGTGCAAATATAAAATAATAATCTAAATCAACATAAACCAGTGTTAGGTGGGTCCCTGGTTACCACTGGATGGCACATCCTCAGGTTGCGGATGGAGGAGACAGCCTCCAGATATGGGGGGAAGCTGCAAATATATTGAATAAGGTGTCGCAGATAGCCAAAAAGGGGTGATCCTCCAACTTTGGGGATGAGGGTGGGCTAAGAACTCTCCACCATAAAAAATAAGCTTGTTGCGAAAATGTCCAAGAAGCCTCATACCTGGATGGATTCCTTCGATAAACAGCCTAAATGAAAGAAAATTGATATGAGATTTGGTATAGTTTTGGTATTTAGAAGTGACAGTCCAGGAACAGCTGCGCAGTGGATGGGCAGGTCCATTAGTGAAAGTTGAGGGGTGTTGTGATTAGTCATTCGTTTGTTTTCAGTGCGAGCAGATGTCTCAGGTTCAGTTAAAAGCATTGTTCCTTGTACAGTCAAGTTAAAGAGTTTTGACTCTTGGAGACGTATTTGAGTGTAGTATTCTCTATTTACTGTATTAATATTTTATTTTATTGTTTATTTTTATTCATTGATTTTCTTTCTTGTTTATTTATATTTGTACATTTTTTCTATATCCTTTAACATGCCACCTACATGAAGTAAATTGAGTGGAAAATTGTTGCATTCACAATCAAGAGAAATTGTTAGTAATGTACAAGGTGGTTCAAATATGACCGGGACTGATTTTTTTTTTTAACCAAAATTGCCAAACACTTACTTGCACATGTCAGTCTTCAACGTACTCCCCTCCGGAGTCAACACATTTTTTCCAACGTTCTGGAAGCATCCTGATGCCCTTTTCAAAAAAGTTTTGTGGTTGGCGGCGTATCCACCCCCGAACATTCTGGATGATGGCGTCGTCCACAAACCGCATGCCTTGCAAGTCTGATTTGAGCCTTCTGAACAGGTAGAAATCACAATAAATGATACAAAATCCGTCCCAAGTGCAAACAATATATATTATATGTCCTTGATCTTGTTCTCCTCTACACTACATGTTTCGGCCTCTAACGGCCATCATCAGGTGTATACTCTTACGTTACTGCCACACTGAACCCAGTCTAAAATTTAACATTTAAGAAACACATTGTTATTTCTTCGTTATTATCAACATCTACCTCGTTGATATCTGTCTGGTATGTAGATTATTTTGCACACGTCAATTTTGGTTTTTCTGTACTAGCACTATAAAATCTTTAGTTATAATTTTAAAATCC